TGAATGGGGGTATTGCTTAAAATTGAACATTCCATTACTGCTGGTGGCTCAAAGGGTCTCCATCCTCTCTGTTCAAAATATTTTAAACATTGTTGTGTTTAGTTTTGGGGAGAAGAAGAATAGTGTAAGTAGAAAAATGATTATCATACTCCTTCTAAACTTTTAGACTTGATTTAAATATGAATGAAACCAATCTTCCTTATTTGCCAGTGTTTGGAAGGTGAACTCTGTTCAGTATACTCGATGTTGTTAAATGGGACATTATTAGCCTTTCTTTCTAACACTGTGGTTGTTTGAAATAGATACTTTGCCTCCTCAAGTGATTATTATCTAATTTTATTATGAAACAAAACCTAAAAGATGGCTGACTTTAAAATCAGGAAGCATCTTAAGTACATTCTCTGCTTTGTAATTCAATCTGAAGAAGATAAAGTGACAATTCCGAGGAGGGAGCAGGGCAGCCCTAAGAGTGTTCCACTGGGTTTCATGGAGAGAGAAGACCTAAAATCGCAATAGAGCTTCATAGATACCTGGAACCCCAACGCCATGGAACAAATGCTTCTGTTTCCCAGCTAAAGAAATCCGTGTCTTGAGGTTTAATGCTGTGACCACGTTGGCAAACCAAGGTAGTCACAGGAGGGTCCGAGGGAGAAGTGAGATTCTGAGAGGCGGTGAAGAATGAGCCGTCTGGGAGAAGTTGAGAGTCGACTAACGTGTCGAGCTTCCACTATGTTTCTGTTCTCACATTTTCTGCCTCTTTTACAGTGTTACAATGTGCGCATTCAATACTGTTAACTGAGGGCCAAGGAAGTGAAACAGCTTTTTCAAATACCAATAAGTGTATCTCAGATTCAAACGCTCATCTTCTGAACATAAACAGCCTTCCACAGAGGAAGAGCCAAACAGAGCCACACTGCTCTGGTGGGTAGAAAGACTCCAAATTCTGAGTGTGTGTGAAGTAAGAATTGAAACTAACATGTTAGAGGAAGATTATATCAAACAAGAACAGAGCTCTCATGCTAGGGGCAAGGAGACCTAAGGAGGCTGTCACATTTATAAAAGTTATAAGTGTTCAGTTGACAACATAAAATGCAAAGCAAATTTGTTTCGTACAACAAGAGTAACTATTATGATACTTAAAACAGAAAGAAGGAAAAAAGAGGGAAGGAAGGAAGGAAAGAAAGAATGTCAGTAAGGAAACTTAGCTGTGGGCATTTTGAGACATATTCTGTATCTGTCTGTGAATGATCGTTACATATATCAAGATCTGAATCAGAGCCGAAAGACGCAGGACGTTGTAATGGTGTTTGTCTCTGTGGTTGGATTATAGGTAATATTTTTATTCCTTATTTATTTCTTTGTTCTACAAATTTCCTACAATGATTCTTCATTGATTTTCCAATTAAAAAATTAACTTACACAAAAAGAATTACATATATGGCAAATAGATTATTTGCTGAGTTAAAAACATTGCTAACCTTTCAACTACGTTAACAGATAAAAGTTTGAGATGAAAATTAGAACATGTACTGAAATACAGTATGAACATTTATTTTATAAAATGCACTATTTTAGTTTAATATTTCTTAATTTGGGTTAAAAAATTAATATTCTATCTATTTTCATAAGCTTTCCATAGAAATGTATAGGCTTTTTTGTTTATTTGTTTTTGAGACAGAGTCTCACTCTGTTGCCCTTGGTAGAGTGCCCTGGGTCATAGCTCACAGCAACCTCAAACTCTTGGGCTCAAATGATCCTCTTGCCTCAGCCTCCAGAGTAGCTAAGACTACAGGTCTCAATGCCCTTCTGTTTTTAGAAACAGGGTCTCACTCTTTCTCAGGCTAGTCTTGCACCTGTGAGCTCAGGCAATCCACCAAGTGCTAGGAATACAGGCCTGAGCCTCAGCCCAAATTTATACTTTTAAATATCAGCTTATATAACTTATGAATAAGAATATTTAAGGTACTTTCAGGTATTGGATTTTAAAATTGTACTCTGGGCTTTGGTTTGTAGAGTTGAGAGATATAACCTAACAAATTATGTTAACTGAATTTAAAAAGAACATCCATTCTTATCCTATTCACGTGTGGACCTCGCTCCTGGACGAATACTGAATCTCAGCAATTTAGATTGGCTCATCCAAGTTCAAGCACACTAAATTGATAATAAGCACATAGTATATACTCCTTGGTTGTATTTGATCAGTTTTTATGTTTTTGTTTTTACAGAATATGTATAATTGTGACCTTTAGTTCCTAACCTATTGATTCTAGGAATCAATAGAATAAGTACCATTTGTTTTTTTGCTGTTTCTTTTTTTTGCAGTTTTTGGCCAGAGCCGGGTTTGAATCCACCATCCTTGGTATATGGGGCCGGCGCCCTAATCCTTGAGCCCCAGGCGCCACCCTGTTTTTTTGATATTTCTTCAAAAACATTCTGAAAAATGGGTGGTTTATTTTTCTTTGATATTATTTGAAATGTTGCAAGTCAAACATCACAAAACTTAATTGCTTTTTCTGTTACCATTTCTAAAATTAAATAAATATACTATTTTTCATTAAATGCATAGATTAAGTTATTTGGAACAAGACCCCAAGTTTCTAAGGCAACTGTACCTGTTGTTTTCAGCACTTCTATCTGCAATCAGTGCTTCATTCCCTAACATTTCCATACGGCTTCACCGACTTTCTGTCTGTGATACCTAACAAGATACCCCGGACCAGAGAAGGCTGGTTGAGCACATCTCTGAAACGTTGAGAAGCATTTAAGCCAATAATTCTGCCTTAGCTTCCCTAACATTGTAGTTACTAATTGCATTACATATAAAAGTTGCTTCCATATTTGTCTGTGGCCAGCCATAATGAAAGGAACTGCCAGGAAATCTCTCAGGAACTGGGAATTGGAAGGCGTTTATTAATCATGAGACTCTGGAGTCCCACACAAATTATACAGCGTTATATACCCTGCTCCTTCTCTCTTCTCAGTTTAGAAATAACTCAGCATAGCCTTCATGTTGCCAAATTATTCCAATCATTGGCATTGTCTCATAGAAATAATCATTTTTGACTGAGTTTGAATTTGCTTTTCCTACTTTAAAATTTATGAAAAAATACATGTTTAACTAGCCACTTTAATCACCTGATATTCTTAACCATACACGACCACACTCACAGTACTTTCCTATAATTATTTCACGTGGAAAACACCTGCTTTGGTAGAGCCCAGAGGGCATCAGCCACATCGCAGGGTCCTCATCCTCTTCATACTTGCCCTGTGCTCAGAGACACCCTGTGAGGCTCCTTCCTGATGACAACAGTTAGGAGAAAATTTCCAGAAATTTTCTTTTCTACGAATTCCATATAGAAATTTCTAGAAAATTTCTTTCCTACAAATTTCATATAAATCTTCTTTCCTGAGAATAGGCATCCTCAAAACGTTTGTGATGACTAGAAGTTCTGACACACTTTGTTTGGTTTGAAATATTTAGTGCATGGACTTCACCGAATGAGAAAAATAGAGAAAGTGTAAAGTGGGTCCCGGGTGGGAGAAGAGAGGCGAGGACGAAACACAGGATGGTCGTGGCCGGTGCAGGTCTCTTGTTTTGCATTTTCCTAATAAGGTTTGAACATGCAGCATTTCCTTAAGCAAATGAACTAAAATATCATTTAGCCTTTTGTGCATAGTCAATACTTAGATATATTTTATCTTCTCTGAAAAGCTTAATAAAAGCTACTTAAAACAGAAAGAAAAAGAAAGAATGCTGTGTAAAACCCAGTGCAGAGTATTAAATGCAGCAGGGAACAGAATCTAATGTAATCTTCTTCCTGTATTTGGGTGACAGAGTATTTATTTCTCCATATAAGAGGCAATATAAAAATAAAAATTTGAAGAAACAATTTATTAAGTTTATTATATTTATACTTGGACAACTTTGAAATTAAGGGAAGATTCACACTCTTCTTTCACATAAGATCGTTGTCTTTAAGGAAATGAAGAATGTGTGAGTCTGCGTGCTCTTCATTACAGGAGGTTTGGCAACAATGATGGATCTAAACGTTTTGAAGCATTTTGTTGCCTTTGCAAATAAATTCTATAATATTTTTCTCAGTATTGAAACATATTTTCCTGGTTAACACAATGTCAAATTGTGTGAGTAGTAAACTACTTATCAATTATTCTGCAACCACCTCCTATACTTTGTTTTCATTGTTTTTCTCATGTAAGCTGAAGGATTTTTTTTTGTTTGAGACAGAGTCTCACTATGGCACCCTCAGTAGAGTGCTGGAGTGCTGTGGCATCACAGCTCACAGCAACCTCCAACTCTTGGGCATAAGCGATTCTCTTGCCTCAGCTTTCCAAGTAGCTGGGACTACAGGTGCCCGGCACAACACCCGGCTATTTTTTGGTTGTAGTTGTCATTGTTGTTTGGTAGGCCCAGGCTGGATTCGAACCCACCAGCTCCGGTGTATGTGGCTGACACCTTAGCCATTGGCACCCTAACCACTGAGCCACAGGTGCCCGAGCCTGAGGGAATATTTTTACTTTGCTTTAGTAAAATGCAACCCAGACAGTTGAAGTTGAATAAATCAGTTGGTATCACAAAGGTAGAGGCTTTATTTGTTTGAATTTTTAATTTAAATATCGGTTTGAAAATCTAACGCCATAGTTTCACGTTCTTTTTTCCAGGAGGACTACTTAATCATTCCCAACCACAGTCATATTTAACCTTTCCAAAAGGATTCTACTCGGGGTATTAGATACCTGTTTGCTATTAACTCATTCTGGATGTGAGATTCCAGAATAACCTTTGTTTACATTTATGGCATCAACAATAAGCAAGAAAATAAAGGCTAAAGAAAAATTAAAAAGTGTCAAATTTTCTAAACATTTAAAATATTATTTCTGATAATTCTTAAATTTTCCACACATAATATTTGGTGTAAGGCATGTTTTGTGTTTCTGTAAATTCTCTTCTGTTTTCTTTCTTTTTTCTTTTCCAGTTACTGGCTGACAAACAAGGTTCCCATCAAAAGACCCAGCACAGGCCTCCTCATGTACACACTCGCCACGAGATTCTGTGACGAGATCCACCTGTACGGATTCTGGCCGTTCCCGAAGGACTTGAGCGGAAAAGCTGTGAAATACCATTACTATGATGACTTGAAATACAGATACTTTTCCAACGCCAGTCCTCACAGGATGCCGCTAGAATTCAAGACCTTGAACTTGCTGCATAACAGGGGGGCGCTGAAACTGACCACAGGGAAGTGCGTGAAGCAATAAAGCACATTCTAGAACATAGACGTTGAATACGCACTTGGTTTCTGAAGATCGGAGGAGAGGATCCAGACGTGGCTGGGTTTCAACATCCACTGTTTAACTGGAAAATCGAGAAAGGGTGTTGGTGAGAAATCCACTACCAGCTGATGAAATACCTGCAAAGTGCTCTAAACAGTAACTATTTTGACTTCAAGGGTCCTAGTAAGTGCCACTTCCACTAAGAATACAGTCTGAATGTATAATCAGTAGTGTTTACAAGACCCTACGATGCACTTGTCCTTTGCTAGCAGAGCGAGCGTGTCCGTCTCTGTGGCCAAGCACATGGGGAGAGGAGGGAGCCCGGATGGCGGCGCAGCCCTTGGGAGGTTACACCATCCTTAGCAGCAGAAATCAAGATGGGAACTGTTTACGCAGTGACATTTACAGGATTAAGCAACTCAAGCAAATGCCTTCAGTCGGGACTGTGATTCTGATCATGAATTGTGTGTTTTTATTTATGTTTTCATTTGTTTTCTGGAATCTCTCTCAGCTTGGGTATTGGGGTGCTTAGAAATCTCTTCTGAGATCAACAGGAATGAGAAAAATAAACTTCACGTGATCATTTCTAAAGTTCATATATTTTTAAGAAGCGATCATGCAAAGACTTTTTTTTAATGTTTTATTTTGCACAACTCTGAACCTCCAGATAATTTACTAATGGCGTAGAAGGTACCAGCTAAACTGTACTACTGAGTGATATTGAGCTGAAAGAAAAGGATGGTCCATGTCACCTTTGATGGTAAAATAAGTAGAAAAACATGCCCTTTTGGTACCAAAGATTGTATACATGTTTCTACACAACAAGTCATTTTCCTTTTGTGAAAATAATATTAACATGAATTTATTATTATGCTATTAATGTGGAAGTTGTGTCTAAATATTTTTAAATTTCCAAACTCAAACTTTATTTTTATTTAAAGGAAGACTACTCATACCTTTTCCATTTCATAATACTTTTGTGGAAGCCTTTTGCCCGTTAGAATAAATGTTCGATTGATAGAGCGGACATGTGAATTCCGGTTCTTTGATATTCCCCTGGTTATTCAGATAGAAAAATTAGCAAGCTGTCTATATCATTGTTAAATTTCTTAATGCAGAAGTAATGTGATTTATATGATGTTTTCATAACAGAAATGATTCACTTTAGAGGTTTAACAATGAAACTCTCTACCAGCAGTTTGCCCTTAAAATGAATTTAATTGGCCAATACTTTTCTGTAGTGAAATTTTGTCACCATATCACAGAAATGTCTTTTTAAAGGACCACGTGAAATTATTAACAAATTGATTTTTAATGTAATTTATAACAAAATTGGAAAATAGGCCAGATTTCTCATAACTTATACCATGCTGGTGGGTAGCTCTGAGATGGTGCGATGTGTCTTGGGAAAGTGGAATCCCTGTGCTTTCACTTCTGTGTGGGCCCAAAACAGCTTATGCGACTTCTTCTTTCTGGGGGAAGGCCATGTAAGGAAAGAAGAAATAGCATGGGGAGTGTGTGTGTTTTGTTTCTTAGGGAAACGGTCCGAGAAATGAATAAAAATCATGGAGAATATATATAGTGTACACATATGTATGTTATGGAAAAGGATATTCACAGTGGCATAGAGGTCAATATTTTCAATTATAGGTGGTTTGTTTGACAAATATGGTAAAATACTGGGACACAGAAGATTATATTTTCTGAGAATTTATGTGTCTCTAAGACAGAAAAACCTAATGCATATGGGACATTGATAGCTGAAAATGAATAGAGGATGGTACTTTTAACGTACTTTCATTATTAAACCTCTTATCTATTGAAAATTTTAAGAGAATTAGGAACCAGATTTTAATTTAAAGCTGAAAAGTCTGATATGCTTAACAAATCAAAAGGAGGCAATTTATAAAATCTAAATTCTGACTACTTGCAAATGATGTTCTGGCAGCTTTTAATTTGAATTCAATGGAAATCTACAAGTCACAAGTAGATTTCTTACTTCAAATCCATGTTGGCACTTGTTCAAAGTCTGGTTTAGCAAAGCAGCAGCAAGGAGCCTTGCCATGTTTAATGCATTTTCAACAAATCGTTGGAACAATTTTAAGGCCACAGCAGACACCCCTTGGCCACCCTGTCCAGCGTGTTGACGATGGCCGTGGAGACACAGTGAGTAGTGCCTTCTCAGCTGTTCCCATTGCTTCACCCCTGGCAGTTTATGTTCTCCAAATACTTTGCCCAGTTCTGAAAACGTCCTGCAGTTTTTAAAAAAGGGCTTCAGTATTGACTGAGACTACTTTTGTTCATCTCAGGGAACTTTCAATACTCAAGAGTAAATTCAGTTAAAGATATTTGGTGTTTGACGAGGACACGCTGTGCGGCCCATTTCATTCCCCACATACTCACCTTTTCATCTGCCCTGCCCTTGACTGTCCACTGTGGCCTTCTTAGAGGGATAGGGCAAGGAGACCATGGAAGGCTGATGGCAAGAAGAAAAACTGATATGTAGCCAATTAAGTGGCAGGAGGGATTAGAATGGAATCAACTCCTAAGTACATACTTGAAGTATCTGGAGTTTTATTTCTTTTGAAAATTCCATATGTTCCCAGATTTTTAATTTATTTTTCATAATTTAACCCCATGCCTGACAATGCTCAGGCCGCTGACCATGAAATCCTGCTCTCCTTTACAGAATATGGTGGTTCTTATGCTGTTGCCATGAACAAGCCCTGGAAACATTTTTATCACTATTCCTCAGCCTGTTCTATAATTAACATTAAGTTGCTGAAATGAAAAGTGAATCAGTAATAGATGTTCTGGGCAAAACTTATGATTCTGCCCCCTACTGTGGAAGGTTTTCTATCAGTAAGAAGGGGCTGGTCATTCAACCGTCCTCATGTTTTGTATGTCCTATGAATTGTGTATCAGTGCTCGTGGGGATTTCTGCATAAATGCTCACAAAAGCAATTTATTTAAATACTGCTAAGGGTAGTGTACAAACCAACTAGTTATTAAGCTGTTTCACAGAAAAAGAAAAAAGGTGAAAAAATTATTTATTTCTAACTGGGCCAGTTAGTCATATGCACCTGCGTGACATCTGGGTCATAAGAGAGTTGTGTTCATGTGGGTATTATGGGGACTATCTATAATTGTGGAAGGGGTACGGGAAGTGTTACATGTAGTTAGTTGTTATCTCTGAAAGTTTGGAAGTTTTCCCATCAAACATTATCAATATACCAGTGTTTTAACAATCGAGTGAGGATTATTGTTTATATTGGATAAAATAAAATCTAAATAAAGCCCACCTAGAAATAGATATTCCATTACATATGTGCTATAGATATATTTACATAGTGTGAGTAGACATGTGTGATGCATATATAGAATGCTATATATGTGAATCTGTGTTTGCACACAAGTCTGTAACATGTACACTGCAGATTTCTGTCATGTGACATCTTCAGGGTTGGCGCTCGGATCTGTCCTGGAGATAAGTAAGACCACTTTTGAATAAAGAAGTTCTTTTGAGACTTCAGTTACTAACTTGTTCTAAGAGGGATCTACTTTGTAACCGAATTCTATGTTGTTCATACCTAGAGTTACAATAAGGGTCTACTATGTCTAAATCTGATAACATAAATTAAAAAAAAGAAAAAAAAAGAAATTTTTCCAGCTAGCAATGTATGTGAATTGCAGTTTTCAGATCGTGGCTCCGGGCCTTGCATTTCTCTTTTAAGTAGCACCTTTTAAGAGATACTGTTTCTTTGTGTCGGCAAAAGCACAAGTGTTTCAAATGTACAGAGCAAGGGAAGCAAAGCGTTTACAGCGCCAGCTGCTGCAGGAGACGCTACTGAGTACGAGGTTCCTTCTGTTGGGTTCATTACTCTGTCCAACACTGTTTTCTTATTGTTTGTGTAGAGCGGCTGGGTATTATTGTTTTTTCATTTGTAAAACTGTAAAATAAATTAAATCCCTTTTTTCAATTTTCCTCTGATCTCTTATATGCGAGCCCTTGGTTTCACGTAGTATGTCAAGGCTGAGCTGTCGTTGTCAACAAACTTTCATCACTGTCTTTTTATTCCCTCCCCTCGGCCCCAGTGGTTGACAATTTAGGCCAATCATTTACTTTTAAGTGTATTCACGGGAATCTGAATAATACCAAGAGGCACATTAACATTAGGAAATCCTTAAAATATTTTTGGGTGATACACTCTGTGGTTGAGGACAGTCATGTCTGTCCAGTTTACACTCCCACAGACTAATGACAGGGGGTGATTTGAGATTCATGGCCGAAGAGGCCAGTGGCCCCGTTCACACTGCACACTCTGTGGCTGCTCTCTAAATGGGGCATCAGTCGCTACTGGATCCTCTTGCTGCTGTTTGCGGTGTGCCTTTCAGGAGACGATTTTTAAAAACTACATGTTTGCATTATTTCCACGGTTCTCGATGACTTCCAAGTCTGCATTTTCAGACTCTGCTTGGTTTTCTGCAGAAATGTCTTCATTTATTTATTCATTTATTTGAGACAAGGCCTCACTCTGTCAGCCAGGCTAGAATGCAGTGGCATCATCACTACTCATTACAACTCTTGACTCAAGTGATTCTCCTGTCTCAACCTTCCAAATAGCTTGGGCTATACCCACAAACCCCCACGCTGTGCTAATTTTTTTAGAAAGAGGATCTAGCTATATTGTCCAGACTGGTCTCAAACTCCTAGTCTCAAGTGATCCTCACTCCTCAGCCTCCCAGAGTGTTAGGATTGCAGGCAGGAGCCCTGATGCCCAGCCCGGTCTTCTGCAGAAATCTTTCATGAAGTCACTTTCAGCATTCTGCAATTTTGAAACCTTTGCTAGACACCAACAATGAAGCATTAACAGTGATGAACAGAAACACATGCCATTCATCTTGGCTTAATTACATTTATGTGAAAAGATCCGTATCCAGTCCACTCTGGGGACATGATCAGACCTCCGCAAGCAGAACTTCACTTTTTGATGTTGTGGAAAAGCTTTCAGGACTTTGGTGAGTTTGGTTACTTTTAATCAGTTTGCTAAGAAGCAATGTTTAAAAAAATCCTACTATTATTAATCCTACTATTAATTATTATTTTTAAGTTTTTATTTCTTTAAAATAGATTTAGAAGGGTGGTGCTTAGGGCTCAAAGGAGTAGGGCGCTGGCCCCATATGCCAGAGGTGGCGGGTTCAAACCCAGCCCCCAGCCAAATAAATAAAGAAATAAACTTCTAAAATAGATTTAGATGTGTTTTTGCCTGAAATTGTTTATAGATTTGTCAAAACTTTCTTTTTAGCCTTATTATATCACAGCCCAGTTCTTCCCTCAGCACACTCTATTCAATATGCTTTGCAAAAGAACGGTGTGGTCCCTCCCGTTCCATAGGCTGCTTAGTGCATCATGGACTCGGAGAAGTTCAAAATAAGGATAAAAATTTAATTTTTTCTAACCAAGAATTACCAAATGTATTGAATTGTTGCATCTTTAATACCTATTTTAATAAATGCCACATTATACTCTCCTTTAGAAACCTTTTCTC